TATTGATCCCAAGCTGGGAAATTGTAGTGTAGCAGCAGCATTACACACAGTAACAACACAATAAGTAAAAAGAACAACCTAGACATAAAAAAAGCAATATAAAATGCAATACAAAAAATAATTGTAGTAAGTAAGTAAAAATATAAGGTGCTGTGAACAGATAAAACATATAAGGTGCTTGGAGACTGTATTATTATGACCAGATTATTGATTATTGATTATGCTGTGTGGGAAATATCCACAGGGGATTTAAACATCCAAACATTGCATCCGAGCTTTACTTGTTCAGGAAATGAACCTATACTTCCCTGGTTGTGGTGTGTAGTAAACTGTCACCGTGCGTAAAAGCGCCTTAAGTTACTGACGGTATTAACGTGTGTTTAATATGTAAGTGTCTGCAGGAAACTTCTTCAACAAGGCTACTGACGCGACTTGGCATCATGTTATTACTTTGGAACAGAAATCTGATCTCGTAGCCTTCATATTAACATCATCTCATTCATATTTATTTTAGGCTATTTGTTGTAATTGGGTAACAATTACACACAGAGTGGCTGTATATTCCAGGAATACGTTGTTTTGAGATCCTGGGAATTTATTTTTTCGCCAAATGGAAAATATGAATAGAGAGGGTTGCTTTTTTTTTTCTTCATAAAATAAAAACATCACATCCAGTTGAACCATCACAATTAACCAAAGCCTAAGTTGTCATATTCCAGTTTCTTGTTTTATCCAACCAAAAATCCAAAGACCAAAATCTTTTAAATACCTTTCCTAATAAGCTTCATTCAGCCTCCTGAAATCACCCTCTTTGATGCTGCTTCTCCCCCAGCACTGCACTGGCCCCCACTGACTGGTAGAACATGTTTAACCACAGAGTCCTGCACACGACCAGAAGACCCTCTGGCCTCTCTTGGACATCTGTGTCACCAGTCCAGTCCAGTTTATTGTCAAAGTCCACCCACCCACCTCTGGACCAGGTCCACAGAAGACAGCACATGGTATATATTTCAAAATAATAGGCTACGTAAGTTTGTGTGATAATAAGTTATTATTTTCAGATACTAAGTCAAAATATTGAAAAAGTTTCTCATTATAATGACTTACAGGAAAAGTGCTTCCATATTATTAATGTGCTGTTTTCAGTTTCTCGGGCTGCGTGTTTGTTTGTTTGACAGGTGTTTTTAGTGTTTTACTATTTGATGTTGTTTTGCTGTTTTTATGTAAAGTGTCTTTGAGTATCTAGAAAAGCACTTATAAATAAATTATATGATTATTATTATGATTATTATTA